GTTCAGAGGACAGTGTATGTGTAGGCATGATTACCATGGTCCATGTGGGGGTAGGTTCAGAGGACAAGTTTGTGGAGTTGGTTCTTTCCCTCACTTTAATGGCTTGTCTTTTGAGGGTTTATTTTTAAGTGTGTGCATGTACACATGTTTGTCAGTGGAGGTGAGAAGAAAGTGTTGGACCTGGAGTTACAGGCAGTGGTTGTGAGCTACCCTATGGGGTGCAGAACTCTGCCACTGGCCGAGTGTGCCCTCCACCAAGTGAAGCTTTCTGTGGTGTGAGTTGGGTATGGGCCTGTTGTATTTAGAAACAAAACACTCCTCACATTGTTAAATCCCTGTATACTGAGAACTTCAGCCACTTAACTGCTCCGTGGGTCTCCAGTGAGCTGGTGTGTTTCCCAAAGCATATTATTCACCCAGTGGGTGATAGAACACCGATGGTATTGAAAATCTTCATAGTTTGCTCATCTTCTAGGATTCAGGTTAACCCCCTCAGTAGTGTATGAAAGCCTTTATTTCGCCTTTGGCAGGCTTCCAGATAAACAGCTCCTTTGGAGAATACTGCCTGCCCACTGTTCTTCCACACTTGAGTGGAGATGCTTCTAAGATCGCTTTTGTGTACAGGGAAGCATCGCCGGTGTGCGTGAGTTAGCATTTACTTACCCTCTAGGCGGAAAAAGAATGCCTGACCCAGGCTTCTGCAGGAGCCAGTGCTGGAGGTGTGGTCACGTGTGAGCTGGGGGCGGGGTCGCTTGCGCATGAGCAGGAGGCTTCTGTTCCAACGGCTTTCCTGTCGCTGCCTTACGCGTCGCTACGCTACCGTTGGTAGTAGCCCTTGGAGAGCTGTTATTTGCGCACTACCACCATGTCTGAATTAAAATGTTCCCTTACTGGAGGCAAAGAGAAAAGAGAGGAGCTGGTCAGGAGCCTGCCATGGCAGCACCTGATGAAGCATGGGGAGGAGGAGGAAGAGGCACTGCTGAAGGAAGAAGAGGAAGAGGCACTGCTGAAGGAAGAAGAGGAGGAGGAGGAAGAAGAGGAAGAAGAAGAGGAGGAGGAGGAGGAGGAAGAGGAAGGCCCAGACAGTAGCTCCGATGACCTGAGCCCCGAGACCCCCTGCATGCACCCAGACCTCCTGGAGCTGGCGGTGGACCGGGAGAAGTGCCGCAGCATCCGCAGGCAGTACCGGCAGCTCATTTACACTGTGCAGCAGAACCGCGAAGACATCGTGAACACGGCCAGCGACTCGTTGACGGAGGCCCTGGAGGAGGCCAATGTGCTATTTGACGGGGTGAGCAGAACCAGAGAGGCAGCCCTCGACGCACAGTTCCTGGTTTTGGCCTCTGATCTGGGTAAAGAAAAGGCAAAGCAGTTAAACTCCGATATGAGCTTTTTTAATCAGGTTGCCTTCTGTGACTTGCTGCTGGTGTTTGTGGGCCTCAACTGGGTGGAAGAGGAGTGTGAGGGATTTAGCAACTGCGATGATAGCATAACTCTTTGCTTCTGGAGCATGTTGCACAAGGAAGCAGTGGCCTGGATGCTGCAAGCTGAAACGTTCCACTTCATTTTTGGTTCTTTTAAGGCAGAACGTTCTGCACGAAAGCCCCGGCTTGAACATCACAAAAGAGCTTGCAAAATGGAAGGAAATGGGGATATGCCTACAAAGTTGAGGAAGCTGGATGTGCATGCTAATCAGGAGACAACAGAAAAAGAAGTAGAGAGAATCTTGGGATTGCTGCAAACCTACTTTCAAAAGTACCCCGATACTCCAGTGTCGTATTTTGAGTTTGTGATTGATCCAAACTCATTCTCTCGCACCGTGGAGAATATCTTCTATGTTTCTTTTATTATTAGGGATGGCTTTGCAAGAATCAGGCTCGACCAAGACAGACTGCCGATTCTAGAGCCAACTAATGTTAACCAGGTGGATGAAGAAAATGATTCCTGTTCTTACGGCAGGAAACAAGGAGTTATATCTTTGAGTTTACAGGACTGGAAAAATATTGTCTCCACTTTTGAAATTTCAGAGGCTATGATCAAAAACTCATACTAAAGAGTTTTATTCATAGTGTATGACTCCATTTTGAACTAATATTGCAAAATGGAATCTAAACAGAAGCACAAACTCTAGTAAACTATTTTCAAGAACAAATGAAAATGTCTACTGTGCAATGTATTTTACTTGATAACTTAATAAGGTTGTAATCTTAAAAGTTCACTATCATGCTTATGGGAAATTTTTTTGAAATTCACATGAAACTCTCAGTAAGCTCCTGAGTTTCTCTGAAGGTATTAGCCAACTTGTTAAAAAAAAAAAAAAAAAAAGACAAAACCCAAAAAACCCAGGACTCACTGTGATACTGAATTGTTTTCTCTGACATGGCAAACTAAGGATAAGGGGGCTTTTCACCAAATTGGGGAAAGAGAAAAAAAACAAATCAGTAATATTAAGACTAAAAAATCCTAGGTGACATGCTTCTTTTGAAAAAGTGGATCTCTGTACTCTGAACTTTGTTTTTGATAAATGAATTTAATAAGTGTGTGTACTGTCAGACTGAAGTGACTAAGGCTTCAAAGATGGTCCAAATTAGACAGCAGGAAGGCATTCCGGGTTATTTTGTGTTGAGACAGAGTCTGCCCACGGAGCTCTGGCTATCCTGGAACTTGGTGATCTGCCTGCACCTGCCTCTGCCTCTGCCTCCCACCACACTAGGCGAGCAGGCATTCTAGCTAAGGTCAAATGTGTGCAGTTGAGACAAGTCAGCACATGAGAGGGTGTTCAGGTTTATAGAAAACTTGGCTTGAATATGAAGCTGGCAGGAATCGCCATGAACTCACCTGTGTTCCTAGGCAGATGGTTGCAAGCCTTATCTCTGGCTAATCTGTCACCACTCAGTGTTGTGATTTCTACTAGCACGGAGTGTCCCTTAGAGTCTGTGATGTTTTACCGTGTAATGACTGATTGTCCCAATTAACCTCAATTTATAAAACAGACAAAAGCCCAAGGGTTTTGCTCTATATCTGGCCTATATATCGAGAATTCTTTATCTACCCTGGTCCTTGTGCCCCAGGTGCCCAGTCTCTTATGGACCTAAGTTGGAAACAAGGTGCTGATTTGAGTAGTTGGGCTGACTGTGTAGCCTTCTGCTTCTGGAAGATGGCATCAGAGGAAGCGTACTGTGGGTATTACAAGTCGGGACTCCTGTTGCCTATGTTTATATGAATGTTTGTCTTTGTCTTGGTCCTTTGCAGTTTTAAGAGTAAATTACGGGACTACTGGGGATGTGGCTCAGTGATGAAGTGCTTTCTTAGCGTGAGTCCTGCCTTAGGCTCTATCTCCAACATGAATGTGTCTCTGTATGCAAATTATCTGATGGTCAATGTAGAAAGTTTGATTTATGAAAATAATTCCAGAAGAGACAGTGGACATGCCCTGAATGTAAGTCTTATGAATGTAAGTCTTTGTTGGTGGAAAAGTGCTGCCACTCATGTGGTTAGTGATATTTTTGTTCCACTTAATAGTAAGTTTTCCTATTAAATCTGTAGTGGTTCAGGGGAGGGAAATTCAAAGTCTGAATGATACCAGGATCTTTGTGTGGAGAAAGTTCATTACACCAGCAATGCATAGAAAATTCAGGAAAAACACAAAACCCTTTCCAGTGCAAACTACTTTCTGTAGTAGCTGTCTTTCCCCTTTCCTCACATGAAGAAGTGCTAGCCCTGCCCAGCACTGGCCACCCTTCAGGATGAAGGAGCATCCTTTTGGCCTGGCTGCTCCTGGTCCTGCCATCTCAGCAGTGCCCTGGGGTTTCCAAAAGATGTCCTTTGGAAAGAGAATTGGGCGATAGGAGATAAATTGAGTTGTGGAAAATAACTGAATTGCAGATCTGCTTGTCAACACCACCTTAAAATGACGGGCTTTGTTAGAACTTGATTGAATAAAAAGGACCTTTTGTGATCCATATCAGCGCTAACCTGGAAACCTCAGATGTTGGTTTGCCAAGTGTGAAAACCCCTCCTGCTGTAGAAGGTTTTAATTCCAACCCGGAGCTCCCACCCTGCCTTGATCATTCAGTGCCTAGATAAAAGACACACAACCTTTATGTTTACAATAAAATAAACCTTAAACAGCACAAGAGCTAGGCAAGTAGCTACCCTCTATGTTATTAAAATGTACTTTCCTATCAGTAACCCCTGAGTTCATACTATGTTTCATCTGAGCTGCTTTTAACTCAAATTGGCCAGCCCTCAGGGCCATGTTCTTGAATTCACCTAACCTGTGGCTGCTCTCACTGAGGATCTGATTTTAGTTCCCAGTACTCATGTTGTAGCTCGGTAACCACACTTCTGCTGCATCCAAAACCATCTTCTGAGGGCACCAGGCACACATGCGGTACACGTATACCCACACAGAATGTTCAACACCTAAGAAAACATGGAATTAAATTAGAACAGTGGGTGTGATTAAGTGTAGTTACTCGGTATGACATCTGGATCAGGAAGAGCAAGAGATGAAAGGTAAAAAGGTGTGTTTGACTGTGATGTATGAGAATGTGTGTGCACATGTATACACCTGCTTGTGTATGTGTGAAAAGACAACTCCTCCCCCTTTTTTGAGAAGGAGGAGACTGAGACACTCACCATGTAGACCAGGCTGGCCTCAAGAGCTCCATCTGCCTCTGCCTCCTGAGCGCTGAGATTAAACATGTACGTCGCCATGAAAGCACAGCTTTTGAAAGTTGGTCCTTCTACTGTGAGAGCTGGGGTTGTACTCAGGTCATTTTGAGGCTTGTGCAGCAAGCACCTTCACTGACTCCCAATGGATAAATTTTTTATTTTAAAAAAATCGTTTTAATCAGTTAGTTTATTTGAGGTGCATGCTTATTTGGAGGTCAGAAGACAACTTCTGGGAGTTGGTTTTCTACTCTCCCTTATTGGGCTCAAGGATTAAGTTCAGCTTGGTGTCTGGTGTCTTTATCTGTTGAGTCATCTCACCAGCTTAGGCAAGGTTAATGCCATAGCCAGGCCTATCTGCAAAAGAAATGACATCTGACTTTAACTATTGGGAGGATTGGATGGGATCTAACATACACAAAACCTGTCTAGTACAGTGTTTTGTCTCATTGTGAATTCTCAGTCAGTGAATTACACAGTACATTTCTTTGTGTGTTGACATTTCTAGTGGTCTGTTATCTCCGAGTCTTGTACTTTTAAGCTTCCTTATCTTTGTTCTGGGGGAATCTATTGCCAACTGAGGCTCTGGAGGAGAGTGGTGGCCCTGTCCCTCCAGGAAGGGGTTTAGTGTCATGGGTGTGCTGTAGTTTCCCTCTGCTGCTGTAACAAATTGCCAGACACTTGATGGCTTTAGACGACACTACTTATGGAGTCATGGAGGTGGGATGTCCAGGGGGTGGATTTGACTAAATTAAAATCAGGACCTGTCCTGGGGAACCGTTCACTACATTTTGAAGGGGACACCATTGAGCAGGAACTGATGGCCAGTTCAGTTTTTTAAGTATGAAGGTATAGCATTCAGTTTTAGGCTCAGCCGAATGCGTTAGATGCTAACGGCTTGCCAACTACACCTTATAGGTTCAGGGTCCTGCAGCATACTTTTTTGCTTTTGTTAAAAACTGGCTGGTGTAGTTTGACTTTATGCATGAGCTACGTGTTCTCACTTCTCTGCTTCGGTGTTACAAAAGGCTGGGTCCAGGGGCAAGAGGTTTGCATTTTTCTCCTGTGTCCCCATCTGTCTTAATAACATGCACTTAAAACGAATCTGAGATGATAATCTTTTTTTAAATATTTATTTATTTTATGCATATGAGTACACCATTGCTGTCTTCAGACACACCAGAAGAGGGCATCAGACCCCATTACAGATGGTTGTGAGCCACCATGTGGTTGCTGGGAATTGAACTCAGGACCTCTGGAAGAGCAGCCAGTGCTCTTAACCACTGAGCCACCTCTCCAGCCCAGTAATTAATTTTTTAAGTCAGTAAATTTTTTATTTATGGGATTTTCAGTGTGGTTCCTTTGTTGTCCATTGAGGTCACTGAAGTTCAAGATTTCTAAAATAGCTTTTTCTGAAAGGACAAATGCTTAGTCTAGTTGCGTTACCACCAGCCTACTAACCTCTGATTCTTTTATCTGAGCGAGTTAAGGACAGACATATTTGTGACAACGTCAATGTTCTCCAGAGTTCTCCATCGGAGATCTTTAGCATCCAGTTTCTTCCAACAGTTTACTTTAGGATAGATCCGCCTCTACTTGCTCACATTGACCCGCCTCCTCAGGATGAGTTCAGATCACATTAACATCCAGAATCCCGCGGATCTGTCTGTGGGAGGTGCCACTGTGCTTTGATCCACACCACTGGATAGTCATCCAGGGAATGAAAATGCGAATGCTGGTAATGTGTTTGTTTTCACCATTACCTGTGCTTTCAGATGCTGGCCCCAGGACCAGCAGCATCTCTCTGTGCTGTTGTCTGTCTCTGTAGCCTTGTCTGTGTCACAGCTCATGCCCAACACTGATTCTGGGATGCAGACAAGGATTAATTTTGTGCCTGTGTTCTATGCTCGTGTCCACCGATTGGAGAGAAGCACACAAGTTACAATTTTGCTTTATTTTATGTGTTTGTCTGCGTGTGTGTCTTTACCACTGTGTGTCCAGTGACTGTTTTAGACAATTAGGAGCTTCTGTGTGGGTGTTTGGGAATTGAACCCAGGTCCTCTGGAATAGCAGCTAGTGTTTTTGACCACTGAGCCATACCTGGCCCCCTCATTTAAAGGAGTTTGTATGCATGCAAATGCTGGTGTCTGGGAATCAGAATCTGCAAGAACAGTGCACTCAACTGCTGATTCATTACCTCAGCCCCACAATGGTGGTGGTTGTTGTCATTGTTATTATTATTATTTTAAGACGTATGTTTAAGGTTTTTTGTTTACCCTTTAAGACCAACACATTTTATGCTCTTGGTCACTCCCTAGGGAGGAGTCACACTGGTTATCTGACTATGTTTACCTAATACTGGGATCTGAGTGGCTGTTATTACCAGCTTGTTTCCCCCCACAGTGCCCTGCATTGAAGGAGAAGCCCTGGTCATCATGCCAGTTCATGAATGCTGGCTGTGCTACCCAGCTTCTCGAGGTAGAG